ACCAAGGCATGAAATCGGCTGCGGGTTCCGGAGAAGAAGTCATCGGGATAACTCTAGTACTTGTACGGTAAGTGATAGTTGCAGTATCGCACCCGGCAGTATATAGTACCTGGTGCTTTTCGAACTCACATCCCGTGTGCTCCTCATCTGAGCCATGAGCGCTCTTTTCCGTCTACCAGCTTTGGGCATAGTATTGAGGACACACGTTACTATCGGGGTTACTATCGGGGGGGTCTTTTGCCGGCTGTTAGTGCTTTACCACCTAACGCCGGCCCAAGAGATAGACTCGCTGGGAATACTGCGTTCTGCCTTATTCTGCCGCCTGGGCGGATAAATTGCCCTCCTAGAGCGTTAGCGTCTCGACGATCATGATGCCGGAGCCGGGGTTGTGGAGCGAATTCCTGAGCTCGGAATTTTCGGGGCTTGTGATTACTAAATAGAACGAGGCATAGAACGACCAGTGTTCATATAGACTAGACCTTTTTACTAATCATAGGGCGGTTGGGTCTGCTCCACGGGGCTGTAGGTTGGGATTTGCTCAACTCCATTCCCACTTCGAATGATGACCTGTGACTTTGCGGGGATTTTTTTTGCCTGATATCTGAGAACATTCTCTCCTTTGTCTGTAGCCTTTTGCCTCCTACCTACCCAGCACGGGACTAATTTTTAAGCTACTTGATAGGGGCACCCACATAGTTTTTTTTTTTTTTTTTTGGAAAAGGGGATCTTTAGTCCTGACCATGGCGATCGAGGGGGGGGGGGGCATCTGCCGGGGCGTGAGTATCATGAAGCGTGAGTGTTTCTCTCATGAATCATATTTTGGGGAGCAACCTCCCTTCTTTCCTTTCCCCTGAATAAAATACGATGACATCCTAGCTCAAGTACTTTAGATCCATAGCTCACAACTCCTCACGGAATTACATAGAGTCGTTATAGGGATTCTAATCTTACCATTCATTATTTTCATAGGGAGAGAGTGAGCTCGTGATGTAGAAATTGGAAGTTTAAGTGATAAGTTATATATAGCATCTTATATGAAGAGGTGGGTGATTTTATAATGGCTGATTTTAGAATTTTATAGAGTGCTGCTTGATGGAGCCTAAAGGAAAGCACCAAGGAACCAACAAAGCGCAATCCCAATAGGCTTTAGGAGGAAGGGTGGAAGATGGAGGAATAGTGTTCTAGTTCGCTCTTGTTCGCTACTCTCACTCTAGCTAAGGGCAGGCTAGGAGATATATTTCTCCATCTAACTAACAAGAACTAAACACTCCCGAAACTCGAAGAACTCTAAAGGAACATATGTGGCTAAAAAAACCTAATCCACAGCAATCTAGAACCATCCTGATATCCAATGATCCTCCGTGATCCCTGTAACCTTTGCCTCAACAAAGCACAAACTCCCGTATGCCAAGTGGCATAGGATCTGAAAGAAACCATGAAACCAATACCCTATACCTACCGGCATCGGGTGTGAAAACAACAACCCACTGCTGGGTGCCAAAACACCGGAAGCCACAAAACCACATGCCCTATAACCGTCTATATCCTGGCCGCATACCCGCAAACCTGCAGATCTACATATCCACTCAAACTGCACAACTCCATGCCCTATACGCTACTATCCAACACTGCTCCCTCTCGTCTTCCCTCTGCTCGCAATATAAAAGTCACGACCTTGGGAGTACTTCACCTCCGCAACAACCATCCTCGCACACATCGCCTTGTCCCATAATCATCCCTATCTAAAATGTCCTTTTCAAAGTTTCTAACCCGCTCTACGACCGCTGTTCGTACGGGCACATTTCACCATCCCGCCAACCGCATGTGTACCGCCATTAATCGTTGTCTTAGGCCGGCAATTAACCATGCGCAGCAGAGGGGTGGACCTCCAATTATCATGTCCAGGCACAGCGCAAATCTGATGCGGTATGAAGCTAAGTCGCTCAAACACTCTCTGGAGCAGCCCGGCCGGTTTAGAGAGCAGCAAGCCATATCATTCCAACACTTTGAGGACCAACTCAACTACTATAGGGAACAGCACGCCCGGTTTAGAGAGCAGGAGGCCATACGCTCTCAGGAGCGGCAAGCCATATAATTCCAACACTTTGAGGACCAACTCAACCGCTATAGGGAACAGCACGCCCGGTTTAGAGAGCAGCAAGCCATATCATTCCAACACTTTGAGGACCAACTCAACCGCTATAGGGAACAGCACGCCCAGCTTAGAGAGCAGGAGACCTTAGGCTCTCAGAAGCAGCATGAGACCTTACACTATCAGAAGCAGCAGGCCGTATCATCCCAATACTCCGAGGAGCTCAAGGCCAAATGGGACGAGGTGGACGCCCTGCGCAAACTATTTCGCGAGCGGCAGCAACAGTGGGAACAAGAAGATATCAAAAATCGCGAGCGCCGTGTAGGATCATCCCTGCTCTCCCCTTCTACACGTTTTCTAATCTTTCAACAGCTTGCGGCTTTAAATAAACAGTAGAGAAGATGAGGCCGTAGGGAAGATATAATGCTCATAGAGCCCCAGGTGTGTGAGAGCAATTTGTGTGTATTGAGTTTTTACTAATGCTTCACGGCAGAACGCATAGTCTATCAAGCCAAATTGGAGAAAAAGATCCCATCAATTGCGAGAATAAAAGAGGGACTCCGTAAATTGGCAGGAGGGAGGGAGGGAATTCACTGATATTCTTGAACTGGGAGCGAAAGCCCGCAAACTTGTTGATTCGAGTGTTTTAACTTCTTTTAACGATCTCTACCATCAAACAATCTACACCACCAATCGCAATGATGGCGCTATTATTATTGTCAAAGAGACTAGATGTACATTATACATTGCCACTCTAGAAAACTCATACTTGACCTGGCTGCAGAAAAAGGGGTTGAGGATATCGCCATTGCCCTGTAATTGGACTGATCTGTGAGTAGAGTTAGGCTTTGTCATGATTCTTCTCTCTACACTCTGAACTAGGTTGCTTAATTTCGTGCTCACTACATACCCGTTGCCCATGAGGACCTACATTGCCTTCTTCTAACCCAGTAAGTTATTCAAAGAGCCTTCCTTACCATACGGTACTAGGACAGGAGCCCGAGAAAATGTCGAGCACGAAGAAATATACAGAAAAGTTTCCTAATCCCCAGAAACCACCGCCAAATCTCCATATATTTCTCAAACCCCGACTGTTTATTGGAAGGCCTGAATCGTGGGTCGAGTATAAAATGGGTGTAATTGGGTGGATTTCCCTTGCGCTCCGGGGGAGCGGGAGAAAGCGGTTTTGCCGGATAATGCTCGGCCGGGCACCGGCTATAACCCAACCGTACTACCATTACTTGTGTCAGTGATCTCCGGGATTCTACTACAGTACTACTGCTGCCCTCAAAGAATCGGCCTCGGACCCGCTGTGTCGAAAACCGAGGATTGAGTTGCTCAACTACCGGCTTCTGGTTTGGTCTTGGGGTTACCGGTATTGTGCAATTCAAAGCATATCTAGAGCTAGGACATAAGTCCTCACCTCTGGATATTTTAGGGGTCCGGGGCCAAGAGGAGTTGCTGTTCGTGATGAAGGTGAACGCGTAAAAGACTCTTATTTCTTCAGCCGGCAAGAATCTGACATTAAGCTTTGCTATTCGTTTAAGAGAAGGATGGGCCACCGGAGGAAAGTGACCTAGGGGAATGTCTATAAAAGAACTAGATTGTCTCAACCGTAACTTAGATGCTTGATCCATAGTAGGACCTCCGGTGGATGTGCTTTGTGGGGTCTACCAACATAGTAGGATGTTGAAAACTACGGAAAGCTAGAGAGTCGGTGGATTAAGTCCTTGACTCTCACTGGTTTCATTAGGTATTTAATATTTGATGTCTGTAGTAATGATATGTTTGGTAAGTTTAAGCTTAGAGGCACGTCTTCGGGGAGCTCTATAGGCTGATAGAAACATTGAAAGCATGAAAGTTGGAAAAAGGCTGATATCTGTTTCCCTCCATGATGACCTATACAAACACAATTCCCATCTCGCTGAGTCGCTGAGTTTTTCACTCTTTCAACGGTTTCTGTTTATAAAATCAGTGTTTCTCTTTTCTTTTATGCACTACCACTACGCACTGGAGATTGTTTTTGTCGGTCTAGGATATCTCTAACTTATTTAGTTAAAGTTTCCTTTCTTTTAGATGTTAGAGTTCGAGCCTTCCCCACTTTCTGCAGGCTCCCTGGCTCGTATTTTTATCGCTGGTATCTGCGAGGTTTCGTGTCGCTCTTCAAGACACCGGGTTAGGAAGGGGTGCCACTGGTATCCCTTCTCAGTCCCACTCAGCTTGCTTGCTCTTATATTTTGATCTTGACTTGCAATTCTACATTTATGTAGTTTTACTTGCTAATCAGTTCATGACTCTGCCGGGTATTTAGAAACCTGCCCCTTTGGTTTGCTCCCTTTGTTGATACAAACCGTAGGAAGATAAGAGTATCTGAAGAAAATTTGATGGCCCTAAAGTTCCGGATTATATACTTGTATTATACCTCAACTACCTGAATGACCTACGACATACCCGCCCAGCCAATTTGAATAAATGCTCGCTGTTTTTTTTCTCGATAGCGCTACAGCGAAACATACGTGCCTTCCTCAACGGGAAGTCTAAAAGTTTTGTTGATAGCTTTTCGCAGTGCTACCTATCCTCTAGGGTGATGGGCTGGTACACTACGGTACCTAGTTGCTGCACATTCCCCCTTGGATACTTTTAATCTCTATAATACCACATTCCCGTAACTATATGCTCATCTAGAGGACAAATATAGATCACGAGATTGCGGGATTATGCTCTCGAACTCTGCCGCACACGACAAACCAATTTGTGAACTGAAAACAGATGACCCGGCGCCTAGCTCGAGTTCTCCCAAGCGCTATAGCCAAGGTTCCCACTCGCCCTATTATCCTAACGTCTAACTCGTCCATCCCGTATCTAAGAGAAAAATAATATAAAAAAGAATTAGCGAAAAGGACAACTCCGTCAAGAACAGGATTCGAACCTGCGCGCCCGAAGGCATCCGCTAACTAGCTCCTAGGGAGTTTAGCAGGCGAACGTGTTAACCACTCCACCATCTTGACTAATACCATAGCTATGCCCTTTTCCTGTCATAACTATTTAACGCCCAGAAGCAAGTGCCAAGCAGCGAACCTGCAGGTAAGACCACCTGAGTTCAGCCACAGACTTTAGGTTGGCGCATCTAGCCGGCGACTGGCCTCGAACCTCCACAATAGCCCCTAGATAGGATTCTTGAAAAGCAAATCTGACCAAAAGAACAAGTCAAGATGGTGGAGTGGTTAACACGTTCGCCTGCTAAGCTTCCCCGGGAGCTAGTCAGCGGATGCCTTCGGGCGCGCAGGTTCGAATCCTGTTCTTGACGGGGTTGTATTTTTGCCGCTGATGCATTTTATTTTATTTTTTGCGCTAGGAGTTGGTTTTAAAGCTCTTTTGATGGGGGCAGCTGCCATGGTTTGTTTCTAGGAGGAAGAGCATCGGGGGTTTAATTAGTGTACTGGCAGTTAAATAAGGAAGTTTTGTCAGGCGATAGGGGAGGGAAATGGGTTGTTTTTTTTGATTGGGTTTGGTGATAGTCTTGACCCGCTGTCTATGGTGGAATGGAATGTGTCGGGAAGGATCAAGAGGAGTAAACCCTAGCGAATTTCTTTTAGATCAAATCAAAGGAGAACAGTTCCAATGTTCCGTTTGATCCATACCAACGACCCTAAAGCCCTTAAAAGTGGGGCTATAATAATGATGTTTGAGGTGCTTTGTTTATAATATAAGGGCGAGTATGGTAGGGGATCTATCTCAGCGTACCTCTCAATTTTCTATTGCTGCTGAGCCCGACGGTGTTGAAATCGGGCTTCTGGATATGCACTTTCTACGTCTCAAAGGCACGGCAAGGCCTGTCATTCTCCTTTAGTGCCGGTTTTCCCGGTCTCCGAGTTAGACTTGCCCTATTTACCTTTTCCCTCTTGTCACTGCTCAACGAATCGACCAGATATGCAATTCTGTCCTCATTTGTCTTCTATTGTCTTCCATATTGTTTCCTTTAACTTCTCCGCTCCGATATATGTTGCTATTTCACTGCATAAATAGTGGGTCTTCCCCTCTGAGATAGAACGAAGGTCAGTAGTATCGTTCGCGCATGTTTCCGGTATATAGCTTGGCCATTGGACCGTTTTTCAACACACTGTTCAAGGTGCCTTTCGAGTGAGTGAGTGTGATGCAGGTTGTCGAGCTACCTAGTTGATCTAAAAGGTTGAGTGTCTATGCATCCTTAACCCCCAACTGCCGGTATCCACAGTGGGTAGAGGTTTGAAGAGATGGGAGCCTTGAATAACTGGATGTCGAACTACCGGTACGGCACGCATCGCACATGCATGTCAATAGCTTGGGGAGAACTCACCGAGAGACCCCACCATAGCTAAGCCTAGGAAGCCCTACGCAGAAATCGGCCGATAGTCGGTTGTATTTTCAGATTAGTCTTCTGTCGAAATATTTTTAGAATAACGTTATATTGTTCGGAGTAACCTTCGAGCACAATTGCAGAATCTGTGCCACATATCCCGACTCACATGCTGCATGAAGTGGGTCTCAATTTCATATGTCCGGGGGATAATGGATCTAATGTCTGCCACTAAAGGACTAATGCCCGGAGTGATAAGCTGATCATTAACTGGGGAAGGAAGTATAGTAGTGTTGAAGGTTCCGGATACCCGATTGCCCCACCTTGAAGCCAAATATGAAGGAATGAGGACAAGGGCGTACATTTCTGGACAAGACACAGGCTATTTAGGAGGTGACTCGCAATTCTCCCCATGAAAATTATACCAGCAACTCATTTGATTGAAAAAGGACTAAAGAAACTAGTGCAATCTGCGGCGGTTGGGCGTTCCCTCAAGCGACAAGGGAGCTAGCCTACGAGTAATGTGCTCTTAGAAATCAGAGACTGGGCGCATAGTTTACCCACAAGCAAGTCCTACAACATAATACCTGTCCACTCCAGCCACCAAGTGTATCCCACTGACCAGATAAGCCACTTTCTCATTGGGATATCCTAGTGACAAAGCAAAATTTATCCTAGCCCAGTGGTTCGGTGCTCAAGTGACCCCATAGCAGTTGCGTTTCCTTTGGTGTGTGGCCGCCGAAGGGAACAAGGCTGTGATCTGGCTGTTTGAGCAGTCTAACGTACCCGACAACTGCGATCCGCCATAACCCAAACTAGCCCAAGCTACTCTGTCAAATAGCTTGAGCGGATTTCGGGCTAACTTAAACTATATGAACTTATCGAAACTTACCAAACCAGCTATTATAGCTTCCTACGGGAAACACTGTTTCTTACTCTTTTTAGCTTTGGTATTATGGAAACCCTAAGTGAGTAATTCGCTGCGAATTGCATGAACTTTGTGATTGCACCTCACAGATCGTCAGCAGAATCACAGCCTAAACTAGTTCCCAAAAACTCCACTTTTCTTAGAAGGTTATTCTCTCCATAAGCCATGATAGTTACTCTTCATTCTGCTGCTTTCGTGCTCAGTTGATGTCAAGATATGGTGCAAAACTCTTAAAATGTGCACCATGGTGGGGGCATTTTGTAATGTCAATTCCCGAATCTGTTTCCTTTTTTTGTGAAATTTTCAAATTTGTGCACGGGGTAACTCCGGGTATGTCTCTCAAAAATTAAAATGACCGGTATGATACCACTGGGATTTAGCACTGGTATCTAATAAAGTGTCCTAGGGTATTAGGCAGTACAGTACTATAGAAGTATACCGTATTACTCGTCAAATGCGCTATCTCCGTACAGGGTTCTAATCTCCATGCCATGAGGATATGCCCCTAATAAAGCCTAGTTCTGAACAAAAAAGGAATAGCAGGATTGCGACAACCCCCCCCCCACCGGCCCAACAGTGACTAACAAGGCCTTCCTATTCCTTTTTTGTTCAGAACTAGGCTTTATTAGGGGCATATCCTCATGGCATGGAGATTAGAACCCTGTACGGAGATAGCGCATTTGACGAGATAATACGGTAGAGGTATATCAGTTGAATGTATCACCTAAAGATGGGAGGTTTGTAAGTAGAAAGTACAGATTCCACGGACATGACAGCAAATTGCTATGTAACATAATTATTCAAAGCATTAAATTTGAATTCTTTCCTATCATAAAAATCGATTTTTTTAATTTCTTTTTTAAAAAAATAAATAAATACAACAATACAGACTAGAATTGAAGGTGGGACCTTCGAAATTCATTTTCCTCATTTATGACCCTTTGTAGATAGAGGCACTTCGAAATGCACTCACGTTAGTACGCATTTTAAGTGCTTTGCGCCATCCTACCATGGTAAAATTGTGAAGGCGCCCGTTCCGTAATTACCGTAGAACATATAAAAGTCAGTTGAACCGCTGAAATGGGCTACTTGCTTGAAGGAACTCAAGCTCCCAGTGCTTTTGTCTTCGGTCCCTCATGAGACGGATGGCAATACCTGAGAGGTTCCCGTGATGGGCAGACATCTATTTGACTGTATGGATGACTTCCTAGAACGGATGGCTGAAGCCTGTGAATGCAAAGGGCTAGGCTTACCAAGCTTTTCTAAGCAATGAGTGGTGGCTGCGGAGCTCTTAACTTATCGTAGCCGAAGGGAACTACCGCGAGGCGGATTCCCGCGGGGACCTGCAGTTACCCTCATGGAAGGCAATATTCCCCGGTGCCAACGGACTCTTCCTCACACGACTGGAGGGGCAGTATCTAGGGTACACAGAACTGCAGTCCGCTGGGCACCCACAGGGCTTCCGAGACGCTTACGATCACCGTTTACCCTAGTCCTGATAAGTAACTTATCTGATAACCTCATATCGGTGGTCTTACCTATAGAGTTTATGGGGTGCAAATAATTAAGTTTAATAAGCACTATCATTGTACGGCGTCTAAATAGCACGAGCCTGCATTAAAGATCTCTAAAAACCACATTCTCCGATTTGAAGTATTATCACTTTTTGCAACCCCAGAATCCCTTTCCATCTCTTGATTGGTGCTTTCTAACTCTGAGTAGTTGAATATAGTAAGAGGGGAAAAAAAGAAAGTAACGAAAACCTATCCGGCGACCGGGATAGCTGAACATTTTACTTGGTCGGCGGGTAATCCCGCCGGCGAAGCACCACGCTCTCTGACGGGAATATCTACTCGACCAATTGTATTTCTTCATGGTTGGAATGGATTATTTCTGGTATTATGAAGAGGTCTGTTTTTCTTATTTCTCAGGCAGATAAAGCCTTGCTAATATCTAGTCCTGAGTCAGTAAAGTATGTCAGCTATCAACGGCGCTTGCCTGACCCCTTCAAGCCAGACCACGGAATCCTGCGAAGTGAGGGGAAACTAGCGAACCATGAGCGCCCACTTCATAGAGACTTTAACTAACCCAAGCTGACTGAAGAGGGGCTGGTCTAGGCCGAGAGGCGAGGGTAGGGAATATGGGATATCTGACCTTCTACTTATCCGATATTATAATATAATATTATTATCTAAACATACTAGTTAGTGATTATTACTTAGATGGCAATATCGGAAAGTGACACGAAACGTCCTATGAGCCTAATCACATAATTAAACCGGGTTACAGTAAATCAGTTTTATATGATATAACCACCTCCGATAACAGGGCGCCCCCTGACCTATGACGGAGGGCTTAACTTATAGTATGGGTAAGGTGAAACTAGAGGGCCGGGTAGCAACTCTTGATGCCATTGTACGAGTACTCGAGTAAGCCCAGAGAAGAGAATAACTAGCATGGTATCATACTATACTCGTAACTGCCTTTGTTCCTATCAGGAAAAACCTCCGGTACCTCGGAGGGTTTCCTTGTTTGGCTAGGTACAGCATTTTCTAGATTCCTTAAAGAAAAAGGAATTATTCATAGTGCAATTATTTTAGGTAAGTACATTATTACACCAACCCAACCTATCTGCCTACTCATTTATCTTCAAAAAGAGCAAAAATCGCCAAGACCATAGGCTATCTGCTGCCTTGCCTAATTTTTCTTCTAGCATGTTCGAATTCCCCGACTTACCCGTGTCA